GGGGTTGAGGGCACAGGGGTCCTCTGCCCAGCCCCACTGAGCCCCACCATCCCCCAGAGACAATCACGGCACTGTTCAAAACCCGCTTCCGCCTCGACTTCCCCTTCGACCTGCAGGAGCTGCCTGCCTTCGCCGTCATCGGGTGAGTGCGGCCATCCCAGCACCCATCCCAGGGCCCCAGGGGTGGCAGTGGTGGCGCTGGTGGTGCTGGTGGTGGCAGCAGGACACCTCTTCCCTTGGCTCTGCCCAGGATCGCCAGCGGCTTCGGGGGCGCACTCTTCGTCTACCTCAACCGCAAGATTGTGCAGTTCATGCGCCGCCAGAAGACCATCAACCGCTTCCTCATGAAGAAGTAGGTGCCCAGCAGTCCCCAGCAGCAGGGCGATGGAGCTGGGGCTGCACCAAAATCACCCCCTGCCCTGTGCCACCCTGCCAGGCGCCTGCTCTTCCCTGCCCTGGTGACGCTGATCATCTCCACACTGACCTTCCCGCCCGGCTTTGGACAGTTCATGGCTGGCCAGGTACCTGCCGTGGGGTGGCACACCAGTCCCCGCCCCAGGGCCACCACAAGCCCCAGCTGACCCCTGCCCATCACCAGCTCACGCAGAAGGACACCCTGGTGACACTCTTTGACAACCAGACGTGGGCCAAGCAGGGGATCAATGATGAGTTCGAATACTTGGGCATCCTGGAGGCCTGGCTCCATCCCCGCTCCAATGTCTTTGTCACACTTGTTGTCTTCATCCTCATGAAGGTGGGTGCCTACTTCCCCTGTCATCCCCAAGGTACCACCAGGAGGTTATGGAGAGGATTTCCTGGATGCCATCAGGGAGGTGCCAGATTGTTACCAGAAAGGTGGCACCAGAAGGCACTGGGTGGATGCTCCAGGAGTCCACCAAGGTGTTTGCTGGGTGGTGCTGGCATGCCATCAAAGAGATCTTGGCTGGGAGCCACCAACCTGCCACCAGGGAGGTTCTGGCTGCTTGCTCCTAGGTGCCACCAGGGAGGTGCTGGCCAGATGCCACCAAGTGCCACCAGGGAGGAGCTGGCAGGGTGCCCCTGGGAGGAGCCCATGCCCCATTGCAGGGTGCGGTGCCCACGTGCTGCTCCACAGCACCCAGCTGAGGGTCACAGCAGGGGCAGGAGGCAGGGCTGGGTCAGGGAGGGCAACTAATGGGTGTCTGCCCCACAGTTCTGGATGTCAGCCTTGGCCACTACCATCCCCGTGCCCTGTGGAGCCTTCATGCCCGTCTTCGTCATCGGTGAGACCCTGCACCCTGTGTGGGCACAGTGGGAAGAGGGAGCTGCCTCTCAGCCCACACTGGGCACCTGTGGGTGCCTCCAGATGTCCCCTTGTTCCCTTCCCTGGCAGCATCAGGGAGGGAAGAGGAGAGTGTGTGAGGCTGGGCCGGGTACTGGGAGAGCCCTGTGCCCATTCCCAGCCCCTCTCTGCCTGCAGGGGCAGCCTTTGGGCGCCTGGTGGGGGAGAGCATGGCAGCCTGGTTCCCTGATGGCATCCACACGGACAGCAACATCTACCGTATCGTGCCAGGGGGCTACGCCGTGGTGGGTAAGCACTGAGCTGGAACGGGGACACCATGGTGGGCGTCATTTGGAGATGCTGCCCCACAGCTGAGGTGATGATCCCTGGAACTGGGAATGGTACCACCACTGGGAATAGTCCTGAGGGCTTCCCTTATGTGGTGGATGCCCCAGAGGGGGGAAGCCAGGGCGGGGACCTAGCCTGGTGGGCAATACCTGACAGCCCTCCCCCTTCTCCTGGTGGTGGCTGCAGGAGCGGCCGCGCTGTCGGGTGCTGTCACCCACACGGTGTCCACGGCCGTCATCGTCTTCGAGCTGACGGGGCAGATCTCGCACATCCTGCCCGTCATGATCGCTGTCATCCTGGCCAATGCCGTTGCCCAGAGCCTCCAGCCCTCCCTCTACGACAGCATCATCCGTATCAAGAAGCTTCCCTACCTCCCCGAGCTGGGCTGGGGCCACCACGAGTGAGTTTGTGTCTCCTGTCCCAACCCCAAACCCCTCACCAAGGCACAAGGGGAGGCAGTGGCATCACCCTGAGGCCACTGCTCTTGTCCCTGGGCAGGAAATACAACGTGCGGGTGGAGGACATCATGGTGCGGGATATCCGCTACGTCACCCTCAACTGCAAGTACCGGGACCTGCAGCAGGTCCTGCACAGCACCAAGATGAAGAACCTGCCACTGGTGGAGTCAGCTGGTGAGACACAGGCAGGGGCTCTGCCAGCATCCACAGCAGCCATGGAGTGTGCCATGGGTGGGTGGCAGAGGGAACGTCAGGAGCCAACGTGGCACCTTGCTGTGCCTGGCAGAGTCCATGATCCTGCTGGGCTCCATCGAGCGGACGCAGGTGGGAGCCCTGCTCAGCAGCCAGCTCAGTCCCCACCGCCGGCTGATGACACTGCGGCAGAACGTGCTGTCCGAGGACGGGCACCGGCTCTCCGATTCCAGCATCCGCTTCCAGGTGAGGCATGTAGCCGTCCTGGGGGATGCCCGGTCAGGGTGCCCCACACCACCGTCACCCTGCCACGCCATCCCCCCACAGATCAGCACAGAGACCTCCTCAGGCACCCCTGCCCGCCCCGCGCTCCGCAAGCCCCTGAAGCCGGCACTGAAGCGGGTGCCCAGCAGCCCGGCCGACAGCCCCCCAGGTGAGTCTGCATGGGCCCCTGGCCCCCCCGTGTCCCTGCCACTGACACCCCTCTCCTCCCGCAGCTGGCAGCACTGACCACACTGGCATCGCCCTCAAGAGTCTCTTCTGTGCCAACGCTGCCACAGAGCCCACCGAGGTGAGAGCCTGGCCCTGCCCAGCCCTTCCCATCCCTGAACGGCCTTGCCTGGCCCTGCCCAGCCCTTCCCATCCCTGAACGGCCTTGCCTGGCCCTGCCCAGCCCTTCCCATCCCTGAATGGCCTTGCCTGGCCCTGCCCAGCCCTTCCCATCCCTGAATGGCCTTGCCTGGCCCTGCACAGCCCTGCCTGGCCCTGCCCAGCCCTGCCCATTCTTGTCACATCCCTTTCCATTCCTGTTCAACCCTGCCTGTCCCTTCCCATCCCTTTCCATCATTTTCTATCCCATCCCATCCCATCCCATCCCATCCCCTAACTGCTGTCTCTCCCGCGGGCCAGGCCCAGGGCACAGCCTATCACAAGGCCAAACGCGTCCGCATTTCCATTGTGGTAAGCTGCAGCCAATCGCAGCCTGGGCACAGCTCCTGCAGGCCAATCAGAGCCTGGCAGGAGTTCTCTGAACCAATCAGGGGCCTGGCAAGATTCTGCTTGGCCAATCACGTTGGGCCTATGTCTGTGCAGTCTGTCTTGGACAGTTACGATTCCATTCAACGAATCCTGGTGTGCATCCTCCCCATCCCAAACCTTCCAGGAACCGGGATGGGGAGCCCCCCAGCCATCACAACCGCGGGATTTGCCCCACTTTGCTCAGCCAATCATGGCACACCTTGCATTCTCTCCACCAATCACAAGCTTGGCTTGTCCAACTGTGGCCAATCAGGGTGTGACCGATGTCCTGTCAACCAATCACGTTACCTGCCCTGCCCGTGTGCTGCCTGTACCCTGCCTGTACCCTCTGCGGTGCCCTGCCTGCATGTGCTGCCTGCACCCTCGCTGTGCCCCCTGCACCTGCCGTGCCCTGCCCGCAGCGGCACCGCCTGCCGCCCTCAGGGCTGCTCCAACACGCCTCTCTTGCAGGAGGAGATGATCCTGGGTGACAAGATGACCCCAGCAGAGGTGAGGGGTTGGGCAGAAACAGGCAGGACCCTCCTGCTCAGAGGGATCCCAGACATCCCAAAGGGGTGCCAGAGCATGAGGTGGGTGTGGGGAGGTAGGGGGTGGATAACCCAAATTTCTCCATAACACCGGGTGTAAGGAGGACGGGAGGGCCCTTGCTGGCACTTGTGGGGAGGCCGTACCCCTTACCCTGCCCAATGGCACCTCCCCAGATCCGGGAGTGGGAAGAACAGCAGCTGGACCAGCTGGTGGACTTCAGCAGTGCCAAGATCGACCCCGCACCCTTCCAGCTGGTGGAGCACACCTCGCTGCACAAGGTGCGCCCACACCCCACCCCAGACCCCCACCCGCAACCCCCAGACCCTCAACTCAGCCCCCTCTTCCTGCAGACCCACACCATCTTCTCTCTGCTGGGCCTGGACCACGCATTTGTCACCAGCATTGGGCGGCTGGTGGGCATGGTGTCCCTCAAAGAGGTGAGCAGGGCACAGGGAGGCTGGAGGGGCACAGGGCAGCACCTGGAGCTGTCTGCCCATGGCTTTGGGGTCCCCGCAGCTGCGCAAGGCCATCGAGGGCTCACTGACGGGCAAGGGCGTGAAGGTGCGCCCGCCGCTTGCCAGCTTCCGCGACAGCACCGCCAGCACCACCGAGGCCGACACCACCGCCCTGCGCCAGCTCTGGGACCGCCACCAGCACCACCACATGCCCCGCGAGGCTGGTCCTGGCGGCGACGATGATGACGACACCCCCAGGGGTCAGTGAGACCCTTGAGATCCACCCCCCTGTGTCCCCAGAAGCCACAAGGGCCCCCGGCAGGTGCTGGGGTGTGCCCGCCCTGAGCCCACTGACCCAGGCTCAGCACAGGAGCGGGCACTCTCAGTCCAGTGCCTCTGCTCCCTCCCTGGGCTGGGGACCAGCCAAATGCCCCCAGGCAGCCCCTGCTCCCCAACGACCTGCCAGCTCTTGGGGCTTCCCACTTTGCTACCTCTGTACCCCCCCAGCCCCCGGTGCCCCCCAGAATGGCCACTGCCCTCACACCCTCCATGAGCACCGCAATGTCCCTTCTCAGGGTGGCACGGGGCGGAGAGGGGCATCAGGTTGGGGTGTCCACGGCGACATGGGTGGGCATTGCCCCCTGAGCTCAGCACCTCATGGCTGGGAACAGGGGGTCCTGCTGCCTCTCTGCCATGCACCTCTCCCCATGTAAATACAGAGATTTTTATATTAATTTAATAAAAGGACTTTATAAACAGAGCTGAAGCACTGTGGGGCTGGAGGTGGAGAAGGGCACAGCCAGTGGGCACCGGCTGAGCTTCACCACGGTGCTGGGGTTGGCATGGCTCCGGGCAAGGAGCCTTTTGTCACGCAGAGCCGCTCACAGCATGGCCTCGCTGCGGTGCAGCAGCTGCGGGCGCTGCCCGGCACTGGCGCGGCGCCGGACGGTGATGACCAGCGTGCCAGCCTCGGTGAGCGTGCAGCTCACCGACAGCGGGTCCGTGTCCTCGGGCAGCTGGCACTTGTGGGTGAAGGTGTCGCAGACGGTGCCATCCTCAGCCACCTGCGGGGAGGCAGCACCGGCGCAGTGTGCCATGGTGGGTTCCACAGCACATTCCCAGGTACCCCAGTGCTCCTAATGGGCAATCCCAGACACCCTGACTGTAGCAGGGAGTTCAACAGGAGAGATCCCAGTGACGCCAGGGCAGCTCCCAGTTACCCCATTGCCAGCAGGAAGCAGGCCTCTGCTGCCCAAGTCTGGGCTTGTGGGTAAATTCCAGCTACTCCAGTGCCAGCAGGGACTGTTCCCACTTGCCACCTCCAGCAGAGAAGGCAACGGAGCAGGAGTTCCCAGTTGTCCCATTCTCAGTGAGGACAGTTCCCAGTTACACCAGCACAGGACAGGTGCAGTAGAGCGGGAGTTGCCTGTTGTTCCATCATTGGGCACAGCTCCCATTTATCCCAGTGCTACCAAGGGCTGTTCCCAGTTACCACCCCCTCCCTGCCACCCACAGGAGGGGGTGTCACAGGACAGGACCCCCGCTGTGCCATGGCCAGAGGGGATGCTGCCCCCTCGGGTGCCTCACCTTTTCTGCCTGGATGGCGACATGGCAGTTGGAGGTGGTCACCACAATGTCAGGGGGCTCAAACTGGCTGACGTCGGCCACCACTTGGTAGGTGTCACCCTGGGCACGCACCCAGGTGCCCAGGCTGCAGGGGTACATGGCACCTGGGGACTCTGTGGGCAGTGGAGTGCTGCTGGGCATGGGGCCACAGTACCCAGGGGCTGGGCACTGGGGGCTGTGGGAGAGTCTGGTGACACTGGGGGAGGGAGGGCTGGGGGTAGCAGGTGTCAGTGGGAGTTTGGGGATATTGAAGGTGCTGGGGAATTGCAGGGGGAACTGGGGGTCCCAGGGGTAAAGGGGTACTGGAGGCCTGGGGGGGTAGTGGGTGGTCTGGAGGCACCTGAGAGCACTGGGAGATTCCAGGGGCACTGGACAACCTGAGGACAGCAGGGAAATGGCACAGGAGGGTGAAGACACTGGGGATGACCACAAAGTCTGGGGGGAGGAGGACACTAGAGTTACTGGGGTGTACAAGAAAGTGGGGGCCTAGCAGCTGACATCAAGGGGTGTGGGACACAGGGGAGCTGAGGACATACCGTGATGGTCTGGGCTGGGGAGGAAAAGCTATGGGGGGTTGTGGGAACAAAAGGAAAATCAAAAGGGTCTGGGGAGGGGAAGGAGGCAGCATGGTGGTTCTGGGGACAGCAGGGACAATGGAGTTATTGGGGACTTACAGCGGGAGCACAAAAGCATTGGGGAGTAAGAGCTGGAGGGCAGTCCAGAGAGCCATGGGGCACCAAGGGGCAGCCAGGGTTCCCCTCTGAGCCCTCCCAGCCGGTGCTGGGGGGAGGGTCCCACGCTGTCCCCAGGCACAGGTCAGCTGGATAACCCTTGGGGGCACCATCCCCAAGGTAGCAGGGCTCCCCCAGGGTAGCAGGGCCACCACACCCTAGGGCCCCCCGCCCTGCACACCCGGTACCTGGGTACCCAAACGCCTCCTGTCCCCGTGCCCCAAAGGGTGCATGCCGCCGGTCGCCCTCGAAGCGGGGCTCGCCGTGCCCCGGCCCGTAGGCGCTGAGCAGCTCGGCGCGGTACGTGGAGGCCGAGCTGAGCGATGCCATGGCGCCTGCTGCCCGCAACCCCGGGGCCCTGCCGTGGGGAGGGTCCAGGCCCGCCAGCCGCCACCGCCAGATGCCCATAATTAGGCACCCTGTCCGCAGGAATGCGAGATAAGGGACGAGGCCTCCGTCACCCTGTGGGGCCGCGGATGGGGATGTATCCCTGCCACCGCTGGCTGCCACCCCCATGTCCCCTGGGAGGGGGTGCCCCCCACCTGCAAGAAGAGGCGCCCGGTGCAGCGCTCGCACAATTGACTTTATTCAAGACCTGGCAGGATGGAGGAGGGGGTGCCACGGTGTGGGCACCCCACGGATACTCCACAGGCACCGCCACGGCGGGGCGGGGGGCTCAGGCAGCTCCCGTAGATATGCACACGCGTGCACATGCCCATGCGCTCCCAGGTGTGCACATGCACACACACACAGAGCAAAGCCCCCCAGCCATCCACAGGCACCCCGCTCCCCCAGCCCACCCCAGCACCGCGAGGAGCATCCGCTGCCCCGGCAGCGAGCGGCAGGGAGCCAGCAGCATGGCCCCTGCAGCCCCTCGGTGGTACAGGGCAGGGGGCCAGCCCCACAGCGGGCACCCCATGGCAGGGAGGGAGAACAGGAGCTGTGCCTGGCAGGGGTTGGTGGGGGTGCTGGGAGATGCAGGGGAGCAGAGGTGGGTGCTGGGGGGGCATCCCGGGGTGTGGGGACAGGGAACAGTGACTGGGCTGGGTGAGGAGCAGCATGCAGGGGGGAGAGTGGCCCCACGAGAACACGTGCCATGCGGGAAGGGGCGCGCAAGCGTTGGCAAAAACTGGCATTCCTCCCCCAAATGACGTGCCTGGAACCCCTCACATGGGCTTGGGGGGTCCTCGGGGGGGGTGCCACCCCCAGCCAGGATAGGGGGGGCTGGCTGCCCTTCATGTAGGCACTTGGTTCCCTGCTAGGAGTGAGTGACATGTCGACAGGGACATCAGTCCCACGTCCTACCCCCTCTCTCCACCCTGCATTGCCTCACAGCAGACTTGGGGACCCCTGGCCGGGCTGACCCCCTTACTGCAGGGCTGGAGTGGCACTGCTCTTCTGGTGGCCCAAAGCCCCCAGCCTGGGGGCCTGCGCCCACCTGGCCCTGCAGACTTCCTGTGTCAGCCCCACGCAATTACAAAAGTATAGAAAGTCCCAGCACCGCAGCACACCACAGCCCCCCAGCACCCCTGGCACCCCCACAGCACCCCTCCAGCAGCTCCATGCTCCAAGGCAGCAGTTCACAGTTTTAAACTCGGTCCAATAGAAGTTGGCCAGGGGGAGAGGAGAAAAGCCCTTCCCGCACCAAAACCCCCACCACCACCCTGGCTTGGGGTGGCAGAGGCACCACAGGATGATTGGAGATTTTCAGCCATGCCATTGGGGGAGAGGGAACTGTGCCCAAAAGGGGAGCCCAGGGTGGTTTGGGGGAGAACATGCGGACAACCAGCCCCACTTATTTAGTCTTGTCAGTTTTTGGGGGCACATCTGGGCATCAGGGCAGAGGACAGATTCCCCCAAGCCCTTCCCTGCGCCCCTTCCCTGCTCTCATGCAAAAATCCAGGAGGGCAACGATGTGGCCAAGCAGGGCCGGGGCACAGTGGGGGCACACTGGCTGGGGGGGCTGCAGTGGCCCCCGGACCCCTCCTGCACCCGGATAGCGAGGGGGAGCAGCGGCAGGGCCTGTCCCTCACCCAGCGTGGGGTCTGGCCAGAGGGCTTCAGCAGGAGACCTGGACCCCCACCAGGAGAGGCAGGGCACCCCAGGAGGCATCAGGGCTCTTCGGCCTCCTCCTCCTCCTCCAGCGATGCCACCCCGGAGGAGGCGACGTCAGAGATTTTCCGGCGGAGTGGGAAGTCCTTGCTCAGCACCACCTCGTCCTCCGTGGGCGAGAGACAGGCTTCAGCGTAGGACACGGAGTAGAGGGAGTCCTGGCACCGGAGCCGTGCCAGGCCCCGCAAGGCACTTTGGCTGGCTGGGGGCGGCAGCTTGGGCAGCAGCAGGTCCTCTCCCCCCAGGGAGCCCAGCAGTTTGGCAGTGAGTTCGGAGGGGGACACCATCTCCAGGCTGCAGAGGCTGGAGCAGAGAGTCTCAGGGGAGAGGGTGTGCGAGGAGTCGCTCTCGGGCTCGCAGGAGCCGTGCCGCACGCCCAGCTGGCACAGGTGGCCCTGCAGCAGGTCTCGCAGCAGCGCGCTGGCGGGCATCGTGCCTGTCAGCTCTGTGGGAAATCAGGATGTCTGGGTCAGTCCACAGCTGAGGGCACCAGGGATGGCAGCTGCCCCCTGCCCTGTGCACCGCAGGTTGGGAGAAGTCCCGTGCTTGCTTCGCCCACAAATTGTTGCATGCATGGCACTGGTAACCATCAAAGGAAAAGCAAAACACTCTCTGGCACCACCGAGGTGTTGTATTCAAGGGCTTCCCTATCCCTGGCTTGGTACTGTTTGCCAGGGTGCAAGGCAGGGGCACTGCCCTGTATGGGAGTGACCAGGCTGGGGAATGTGCCAGGCAGTGGGCATTCCATTCCTTTGTCCCTCAGCAGTGGGACACTCACACCAGCAGTGGGACCACTGGCCCGCTCCCCACAGCACTTACCGGTGGGCTGGGAGCTCTCTGTGGAGGGCATGAAGTCCTCATCGTAGGACTCGTCATTGGAGTCGTCCCCATCCACTGAGGACCAGGCTCGCAGCTTGGCCTCAGCAATGGCAAACTGCTCCGCCACACCTGGCACGGGACAGGCACGGATCAAACACGCACAGGGAGGTGCTCCCAAAATCCCACTGCCCTGGCACATCTATGCTCACAGTGCCATGGCATGGATGGATGGATGGATGGATGGAGGGATGGATGGATGGATGGGGACCAGCCCACTGCCCCAGCCCAGTGCCGCACTGGGGACCAGCCCTCCGGCCGTGCCCGCGGTGCCTACCGGCAGCGAATCGCGCCTCCTGCTCGCCCTCGCTCAGGTGGCAGTAGGAGCTGAAGGCGCTCTCCAGGGCGGAAGGTGACTCCACTGGCTTGCACCAGCCCTTCCACTCGATGAGGTGGGCAACACGGCCCTGGGCCATGGCCGTCGGCTTTGTCACGTGCTCCTTCACCACCTGCGAGATGCCTATGGGATGTGCCCTGATGTCAGCATGCCCTTGGCACCCCAAGTCCCCACCACAGAGCCCATAGCCCTGGGACCCAGCACCCCCTACTTCCAGTCCATAGGACCTGGCACCCCCATGCCCTCCTCTTGGGTGCCACGAGTAACCCACTGGTCTCCCCTGAAACTCCAGACCCAGGACCCCCCAAGATGCCCAGACTCCTCCCCTGAGGAGACCCCCCTTTCCCAGATGAGCCCCTGGGTGAGCAGTTACCGTGCAGCGAGGAGCGGGCCAGGGCAGCGATCTCCTGGATGGTCAGCGCGCGCCGTGACTTGGGCAGCATCTCGACAGTGTCCTCAACATTGACCTGCCAGAGCGGGCAGCGTGGTCACAGCCCTGGCACCATTTCCCTTCCAGGAGCCCCACACTCCAGGAGAGGGCTTGGCCCTGCTTGGTGCCCATCCCGGGGGGCCTGGGGTGTTTGTGCACACACGCATCACAGGCATGGGTGTGTGCAGAGGGGTGGTCACAGCAGGGCACACTCCCACAATGTCACTGCACACTGGCACTGTGTACACACCTGCACATGCCTGCTGAGGTAACCACATGTGCCCACACACACACAGGCAGCCACTCAAACACACAAACTGACCACAAACACACACCTGCACACTCACACCTGAACGCCGCTGTACACACACGTGCACCTGCACACTTGTGTGCGCTCACATGTGCCCGTGCTCTGTGCTAGATGGTGTCACACACACGTGTGTGCCCGCCCCAGCTTGTGCACGCACACGTGCATGTGGAAGACCACCTCAGCCCAGCTCCCCAGCACCCACTCCCTGGCAGCACACACCATGCCAGGACATCCAGCTGTATGTCCCCATTGCCATCCCGGCCATGCCAGGCCCTGAGCCCATGGCCACGGGGGAAGCGATGTGGGATTTGGAGGCGCGCAACAAATTGCATTGCCATGGCAACGAGGCACCGTGGACTGATTTCTCCCAGGATACAGCCCGGCTCATGGCTGACGTCAGAGCAGCCCCGAGCCACTGCGAGCTGGCAGGGCCATGGCCAGGACGGGTGCCCTGCCACGGGGTACGGGCACATGGCTACCTCAGCCGGGCATGGCCGGGCTCGGTGGTACCTGGAGGAAGTCCTGGCTGTCGAAGGAGGCCTGGCGCACCAGCCGGGGCAGCGGGCGGGCAACACTCAGGGGTGACAGTGCCTTCACCTCCTTCCACTCCACACACAGCGTTGTGTCCACGGCCACTGCAGGAAGAGCCGAGGCCAGCCTCAGCACCTCCATTTCCCCAGCAGCCCTCTCAGTCCCCCACCCACTGACCCTGTGGTGGCAGCTTCTTGTCCGGTCTGAGACCAGACACAACTCGTTGCTGCAGCACTGGTGACTCACGCCCGGGCAACTCTTCCGCCTGTGTCAGCGGTAACGCACGTCCCCAGCCTGGCACTGGGGACCAGGCACCTGTCCCAGCTTGGCAGCTGCTCTGGGAGGGGTGGGGGCAGCTGGACCAGGCTGGACCGGGCCAGGTGCTGGGTGTGTGAACAAAGGCAGCACTGGGCCATACTTGCAGGGGGATGCTGCTCCTCCACTATTTCCAAAATCCCCATCTCCAATTCCCTGCTGGGTCAGGTGGGAAAGGAGCAAGAAGGGATAGGGTCAATAAAAGCACCTGCACCCATCTTTTGCCACAACGGCTTGACCTCTGGGCACTGGCACCTCAAATGGATGGGTGCCTACACCCTCAGGCACTGGCTCCCAAGAACTGGGGCCTCCTGCTCCAGTTGCCATGAAAGGCCAGTCCCAAAGGGGCCAAGACAGGGTATCTCCCAAGAGCCTCATTTCCCCTGCACCAAGGTGGGCCTGGCTGACATAAACCAGCTGTGAGGTGGGATACAGGGAAGCTCAAAAGTGCTGCCTCCCACCCACATCTGAGGGTACACCCTGGCTTCCTTGGGAAATTGCAGAGAGGATCG